GTCGCGGATTCATCATCAGAGACATGAGTAGGAAACAGTAGCAGAAACGGGTGCAAGCGTTATGTCTTGAAGGTGCATACGCACGTCCATGTGACGCCTGCATAGACCATCGATAAGGCTGCGTACTCATCACTCCTATACCTCCTGCTGACCACAACTCAACCATCCGCCCTCGCTCACAAACCACACTGAACAAGTGGCACGGGGTATTACCAAAATTAGAATATCAATATAACTGGAACAATTCAAAAATTGATTACAGAAAGAAAAAAACTTCCCACAAGCTCTTTTCAAGTCGCAGAATTAACAACTTTGATTACTCCTAACTGAATCACTTGTACAGACTATTATCATCCGACATGCGACAAAAGGCCCGTTTATGTTAGTTTCTACTCTGTTAAAGAATAGAAAAATAAACAAGGGAAATAACAGACACGTTGGTTTCAACCATTGGTGACAATGTTTAAAATAGTATTTAAAACATTTTCAACCTATTTGGCAACGCGCAGCGATTCTGATTGTAGGTACTGCCTTCTAAACGTATTTTAGCCAGGGGAGTCCTCCGAAGGGGTTTGGTGTTGCTTATTGCTACAGCCAACCGCCCAAGTCCGAAGGCTTCCGTAGTGTCGCTTTCATCCCAAATTACCTTACCGTTAATTGTGTTTCCTGTGAGAACTGTGACGCAGGAGACAAAGAAGGAAAGAAAAGTTAACTACTTTAGCCCGAAACTGATGATGATAATGGTGTTTGTTGAGATCACTATTGACACGTTGATGATGACTCAAAAAACAAATAGGAGACAGTGAAACGTACAGATTGTTGGAATCAGTCAGGCGGAGCTCTTTGGTCAAATTATTCAGTTGGGAATCGACGGAACGCCCAGGTGATAGAGCTGTCAGCATGTAACCTCGTTGTATACCTAAAGGCAGTCACAAGAAACCTGTGGTAAGCACGGTGAGCCGGACTGGCTTCCAACTGTAGAAAAACCACATTTTTAGTAGTAAATGAAACCATCAAAGTACTTAGTACCGGAAGGAAAGGGGGGTCTTAAAACTGCATAACAGACACGAGGTAAAGAATAAAAATGGAAAATTACTTGGGCCAGAGGGCAAGTGAAAAAAAAAGAAATTGCAAACAAATTAACACTTTCAAAAGACCCGCACACAGTCTGAGCGCATTATGAATTTACGATCCCTTCTGAATCGATAGATAAATAACATCATGGGAGAAAACTCTTGTCCGGGTATATAAATATTCTCATCCAACATGCCTGTGTCGTTGTTATAGGAGGCCAGATGTGTAGTAATCTAATCTGCGTGTGTGGCAAAATATGGACAGTGGTTTTCCTGTTTTCTCTCTCTCTCACCCTGTCCCTTCTTCCTTTTTTACATCCCTTTCACAACCTGCTCTACAATGTTCATCTCCGAATTCTTTCCCTTTTTAGCACTGAGCTCATTTTGCCTCAGGCGACCGATAAGCTA